TATATATATATACACTCATAATTGTGAGAAAAATCATGATATAACTTCGCAATTGTGAGTCAAACATCCTTTTATAACAGGGCATGGGGTGGAAGACTTTTCCTAAAATTGCGAGTTAATGTCTTACAGTTCTGAGTTGATAGCGTACTCGTGAATTCATGAATTGAAGATATAAACTCACAGTTCTGAAAAGAAAAAATCTGAATTGCAAGTTTTTAATCAAATAAAATCTCACAAATGAAGAAAGCAGTCAGAATATCATGGAAAAAAGCCATAATTGCACATTTTTAATAACAATTTTGAAGAAAAAGTCAGAATATTACTATTAACTTTATTTATTTTTCATATTCAGTGATGGAAACGATCTTCCAAACCTTCAGACCATACAAGATTGACAGAACATTAAAGAAAATTTTTTACCTTGAATTTTTTCCTAAAACGTCAATGGTTAACAGCCATTTGAGAGTAAATACATAAACAAAACAAAATGATTACTCTGTGTTCTTGATTCTACACTGAGCCCCCATGCTGCTATTTTGATGAACAGTACAACACCAGCTCATGTGTGAGATTGCAATTATAGGTCAATACGCTTGTGCTTTCGACTGCTGTAAATCGACAATTTGCTGAGGCTGTGGATTCAAAGGTATTGATATATATACAATGTTCAGTTTTTGCAGACTGATCATTTCACTTCATGAAACCTCAATGTAACAGCAAAAAACAGCTATGGTTTTGCCTGAATGTTTTTTTACTCTCAAAGTACCAGTAGCCAGTAAAGCATTAATAACCATTTGTTTTTAAATTCCAAATTCAGTAACATTTTATAATAACTACACACTATGAATCTTTTACTAAGCATTAGCATCTATGTAGTGAATACATTATTTGTTAAGCATTAACTATAAATTAGTAAGCAGTTTATAACTGCAGATACAAATGCTCTAGTCTTGACTTATAACCATTATAATGTTCTTAATAATTGTACTTTCATACTTTGTTACCGATTTATTTTTCATTAGCAAATTAACTACTGCTTTATTTACGAACCATTTTTATTTAAGAGTAGTAGGTGGCTTTTAACAATCATTCAGAATGAGTTAGTAAATGATTAATAAACTAATAAAAATCAACGTTTATATATCTTATTATTCAGACATATAGTAATGGTTACTATATGTTAATGAATGCTTTATTAACTCAACTTCATGCAGTTTTGAGAGCTAATCTAAAGTGAGGACTATTTATGTGTTTTTAAAACCCTTATAAATGACAGTTCTCGTTCTGAATGATCTTAAAAAACAACCAACTATGCTTAAATAATTGGTTTGTAAATAATGCAGCAGTTAATTTAGTAATAAAAAATAAATCATCAATAAAGTATGAAAATACAGCCATCAAGCAGATTATAAATGTGCTTATAAGTAGGCCCACATGCAATCAGCGCACAGATTTTAGCCCATCATTAAGTCCATTTATTTACTCGAGTAAATGTGTGTAAATTTATATTTATTCTGTTTTTAAATTAATTTCAGAATAATTATTGACTAATATGAAAATGTTCATATAATTTATTTAAAATACAGCCTGAAAAGTCATATTTTCTGTCTTTCAGTAGAGATATTATATGAGAGACTTGCTTTGTTTACCATATAAAGTGGATCTAATTGGATTTACATTTTAAACATTAAATAAAAGGTTAAGATATTATTTTTTTTATTTCACATATTAAGGTTTTAGTTATGATACTCCCAAAATTCTCTGCAGAAATAGCAAAAAAAAAAAACATCCGCAGATTCCGTCTGGCCCTACTTATAAGTCAAAAATAGAGCATTTGTATCTGCAGTTATAAACTGCATACTAATGTCTATTAATGTAGAGATAGTGCTTAACAGATAATGAATTCACTAGATGCTAATGCTTAATAAATGGGTCATAGTGTGTAGTTATTATTAAATGTTACCTTAAATTCTGCTTTAATGTTCTCTTTAGGAGAAAAAAAACAACAACATCCTGGATGTTCTGAGGGAGAGTAAACGTACTTCTAATCCTTTACTGTTGGGTGAACAGTTACACATTAAAAGACACATTTTACAACTCTCCTACAGTTAAATAGATGAGTTTTCATTCATTCATTAATTTTCTTTTTAGCTTAGTCCTTTTATTAACCTGGGGTCGCCACAGCAGAACGAACCGCCAACTTATCCAGCATATGTTTTTATGCAGCGGATGCCCTTCAATCCGCAACCCGACACTGGGAAATAGATGAGTTTTACCTTTTTTAATTCAATCAGTTGATCTCCGGGTCTGGCAGGAGAACTTTTTAGATTAGCTTAGCTTAGCATAGATCATTGAATCAGATTAGACCATTAGCATCTCGCTCAAATTTCAAATAGGAGTTTTCCTATTTAAAGCTTCTGTACTTACATCATGTACTAAGATCAACATGAATTAAAAAGTTGCTATTTTCTAGGTCGATTTGGCTTGGAAAGAGCATATTCTCAACTTTATCTCATTCCAGTGAATTCAATGAACTTTAATGCCATATCATGCCTGCAGCAGGCACAATGATGTTAAACAGTGCCCGAAAATAGTCCAAAGCTAGGAAACTACTAGTCCCTTTATTAATCTGGGTTCACCACAGCAGAAAGAACCGCCAACTTACCCAGCATACATTTTACGCAGCGGATGCCCTTCCCGCTGCAACCCGTCCCTGGGAAGCTGCATAATATCATTATGCTTGCTACAGCAACAAAACATATACAAATTTGAGTGAGATGCTAACGGTCTAATATGATTCAATGATTTATGTTAAGCTAAGCTAAAAGTGTTCCAGCCAGAAACAGAGATTGGCTGAATGGATTCAAAAATGAGTTAATTACGTAACTCTAAGAAAGCTGTAAAATGTGCTTATTTCCAAAAAAAAAAAAAAAAAAAAAACGGTGTGTTTCTTTAAAGTGAAGGTTATTGTCACATACACGATATACAAATAGATTCATTATTTTGACTAGTTCATGGCTTTTCTTTTCAGATAGGACACATCATTAATGTAAGTATTTGCATACAAAACAGTTCCACCTTCTTTTATTAATCTCACCACATACACCGATACATATGCTGGTCTTCCAGCCACACACGCGGTGACTAACAAACCTGCAAATCTCCGAAGACTTTTGGACAATGGAAGTCATAGGATTACAAAACAAAAGAATGAGAATGACCACAAAACATTTCCTCTTTCTCTCAGTCCTCGAATGGTCCCAATGCCAAGTTATCAGGAGCTACAATGTTACTTGTAGGAACTCCAAACTTTGTTCGAAAAAAATTAATAATAATCCAAGATGCTACAAAATCCAAGCAAGAAACAAAATCCCACTGACAAGAAGAGAAGTAGAAGAGCAACAGGAACTTTCAGATGCTGAGTTATGGTGCACAATGATAATAAAACACTTGAGTAACTCTCATTGTTCTGTTCTTTGAGTTTCTCACAGTGCTTGCATGTGACAGGTGAGCAGAAAGCTGCAGGACATCGGGTCGAGGTTGTGAGGTGTTGCAGCTGAACAATTGCATATTAAAACAAAGCCTCATTGAAGAGCTTGAGGAATGTTCTTACTGAAGCGTCTATTGACAAAGCCATTGCGGATCCCAGGCTGAAGGCGTCCTGAAGCTTCATGAAAAATTACGCTGAGAACTTTATCTTTCTCGACGATGGGGCACTTGCTGCGTCCTTAATGCAAAACAGAGGGAGCAGGGGGGTATTCCTAAAAGTATTAGGACTTGAAAACATGCACGGCCCTGATAACGTATTGTCTGCATATTGGGCATTCGCTCATGCGCTTCCCGCATTTGGTGCAGGTGACCATGTGACCGCACTCCAGCAGCACACAGTCGATGACCGCGTCCATGCAGATTCGACACAGGTTATCGTCATTCGATAACTGTGTCCTGCAACTATCTGTTGTTAGAGAGAGAAATAGATGGGCTGTTATGACGTATCGATTTATCTCGAAGGACAGGATCTAGAGGTTACGGTCAATCTAATAACAGCCAATAGGGTTCACTTGAGTAGGATATGTAATGTCTCGTTTCCACTGAGCAGTGCAGTTTGGTACAGCACAGCTGTGCTTCTCAACCAAGTTCCTGGAGGAACACCAGCTCTACACATTTCCCATGTCTCCTTAACTAAGTACACCTGATTCGGATCATCAGCTCATTAGCAGAGACTGAAAGAGCTGTAATGGGTGTGAGAGACAAAGGAGACATTCAAAACATGAAGAGCTGGTGGTCCTTCAGGAACGTGGTTGAGAAACATGGCACTACAAGTACATATTAACATATGTACATGGCACTACAAGTACATATTTGGGACCCTTTCGTGAGCATACCTGCTGTAGCAGAACAGTATGGTTCCTAAAGGGTGGAGTGAGACTCACTGCTGAATGCTATTATTAGTGTAACACGCCAGGAGAACAATAACACAGGAAGTGTGTATTTTTAGTACATAGCTGAAACACAATGAACCACACTCAAAAAAGCAGACAGAATTGAATCTGCTAAATGTCTTTCATTGTTATTCATGGAATATCTTTTTGAGTTAATGACCAATTCGTATTTACAGTGGGGAAATTAAGCATTGAACACGTCAAGTATTTTCCTGGGAATATTATTTCTAAAGGAGCTGTTGACAAGGAATTAACCCAGATTTTGGTAAAAACCCAAACAATACAAACATAAAAATATAACAAAATTAAAATTGTAAAAATCTGAAAAATAAGTTATCTGAAATATTGTAATGACAAGGAGAAAGTGCTGAAATACTGAAAGATATTTATTACTTCGTATAAAGGCTTTTTTGGTGATGGCAGCGTAAAGACGCCTCTAATATGAATGATGAAGTCATATGGATTGCTCAGATGTGATTTCTTTTCACAGATTTCACACACTAGAAAAATTTTGATGTTCTGTAGTTTTCATCTATCAAGTCTGATCTTTATTTTGTATTTTTTAATGGGTTCGAGTTAGGTGATTGGCTGGGCCATACTACAGCTTGATTTTCTTTCTCTGAAAGCATTTGAGAGTTTACTTGGCTGTGTTTTGCAATAAAGTCTGGCTGCAGATTTGCACTTGCACCTTCAGGCTTGCACGCTCAGACTTGCACACACAGGCAACCGTGCTTCCTCTGCAAGTGATGTCATTTACAATTTTCACCCGTAGCCGCTTGTATGAAAATCTTTCCGTAATTTAACTTAAGGGTGTAATTTAACTTAAGTAGGAAAATCTAAGGTAATGGATTTCATTAAGATCATTGCAACAAACTTCTTATCTGTCACCAACTCAAGTGCCTTTTTTCTAAGCGTTTCACTGTAGTTTTTGGCAACATATGGTGACGGGTGGCACAGTTGCTATAGTTACATAAACAGATCATAACGAACCACGAATGCTTGCCTTAATGTTACACATCATCTGTGCTGCTTTTTTTCCGTTAAGCAAGTCAAGACGTTCCCTTATCGAGTCGATTTTGACATTACGTGTGGAGGACCTATAAAACTGGGCTGGGATCATGTAGAGACTGCACTGAAACTGCCATTTCATATGGCTGCACTCCTGCGCAGACGTGCGAACTTATCAACACGTATACTGTATATTGGTTTATTTAATCAACTGTGAGATTTTTGGGTTAAGGACTTCATGCAAACGAGCCATGCACTCTCCGGCGAAGTCACTTGCATCGACATCTGCATTCTTGTTTGCAATCGTCCTGGGACCCGCTGAATAAAGAATAGCTTCCCAAGTCATTCAAGAATCATTGCTGTAAGTCCATAATGTGTAACTTTTAGTTATAATACTACAACTCCTTAAAATATTTTAAAATAAAAACTAAAATTGAAATTTGCCTGGTGTTTTTTTTATTCATAACTGTAGAAGAATAATGTGTGTGTATATGTAGACCTCATAGTTCATTTAAATAAATAATAAGCTTTGCTGGTATAAAAATGTTAATAGTAGCCTGCTTTGGTAAATTTACATTAAAGCATTATAATCATATGATATATACAAAAGCTTTTCGGGGGGTAGGGGTCGGTTATGGTGTACAACTTGAGTAATTAGCATTAATTGACAATGTCGTCACTGTCAACGCAAACAAACTGGAAACTTTCTTTTGGTTTATTTGTGTTGATTTCAAGTGACGTGACAGGTGCAGGTGTCGATCGTAAATGGCGTCACTTGCATAGGAAGCATGGGTGCCTGACCGTGCAAGCCAGACCCTTCTTGTGTTTTGGATCATTGTCTTTCTGAAATATCCACTCCAGTTTCCTCTTCATCATCCTGCTAATGTAGATGTTGGACTGAAGCAGCTGATATTCATTTACAATGAGGAAGAGCAGAGGGTTGCTGAATAACTACTGAGATTTCAGCTGCTGTCTGGGCTTTCACTGCCTTTCTACACCTCCCTTTCTTCATGCGTTCAATACTTTTTTGCCATTTCATTTACTACACATAACTTCATTTGTAAACTAATTAGATTTGTTTTCATTGCAAATCAGGATTTCGTTGGTTGTTAACAACACCCAGTGAAAATTTCAAGTCAGCAGCACCCTGAGAAATGTTTTCTGAGAAAAATGTTGGCGTGTTCAACCCCCAACGTGTTTGTACGATCTCATTCTTACATTTTAGTATAATTTGCACATCCCTCAATGAGAGGTAGAGATAGGGTGGGTTTTGGGGGCAGACCTTTTAAAAATCATACCTTTTCATACTAATAGAGTCTTACACATTTGTCCACCACATTTCTGATAATATGTAAATTAGTTGTTATTCTTCTGGTCATTTAAATAACACATCTAAATGTGTGGACAGCGCAAGAGGCATACAGCTTATTCTCTTTATGTGCTCCCGCTTAATGCACTTCTACATTTAAAATAATGAACTTGTGTGTAAAAGATGCGATATGTGAACGGCACACACAGCTTTTAGTTTTTGAGCAAGAATGGTGACCATCGCAACTTTCCGGCCTACACCATGCCTACCAAGTAAGGGTACCCAAACCACAATTGTACTGTACTGCTGTGTTTATCAACCACATTCCTGGAGGACCACCAGCACTGCATGTTTTTGATGTCTCCTTTGGCGGTCACTCTCATTACAGGTCGTTAGTGTCTGCTAATGAGCTGATGATCTGAATCTGGTGTGTTTGGTTAAGAAGACATGTAAAATGTGCAAAGCTGGTGGTCCTCCTGGAACATGGTTGAGAAAAACTGCTGTACTGTACCAAATTTTCTGCTCAGTGGAAATAAGGCATAATTAGTGATGCACCAAAACTGTTACACTATTGAACAAAAAGAAATATACAAAGAAATATTCAAATTAATTAAACAATAAAATAGTTCAGAAAAAAATAACTGAAAAGCAACAACAAAAATCAACCAATAGCTCAACCAAACTTCAACAAAATACATATTTTCTATCTTCTATTGGCAAACACTGCCAACCAGCCAGACACTTTCCCAAACATCCAACACTATGATACATTGTCAAAGAAACTAACTAGTTAGTCATAGCTGTTTCTCAAACATGATTGGATATCTGTCTGGACCACCTTAGGTAGCTTTTATTAGAGATCTAACGCAAGTGGAGTGATTACAGATGAAGATTAAAATGCTTGGAGATCAAAATAAGCTCTGATTTTTGCTGTAAAATAAGGAATATGGCATCTAAAAACTACTTCACTATTTTAGTTCTCCATTATTTAGTTATTTATCTAGACTCCCTCATAGCTTCATGCTTCCACTGTGGTGCTGGAACACATGTACAACCTCAAACTGAAGCTCACAGAATTAAATTTGTATATGACATTAAAAATATAGTTCAGTAATTCAGGAAACACAAATTGTAGAATTGACAACAGAACCTGAAACCACAGTTAGCCCTTTGGAGAATGCTACTGTAGGTATACTTTAGCTTTACTATATCATATTTACAAGCTTTTTGCACTATTTACTGTTTTGCATCTGCACAACTCTTGTTTGCACTCCTTGCCTTGTATTGTTTACTTTTTTTACTCACATTTTTAGATTTTATTATGTGTGTAATTATATTTATTGCAATTTCTTTTTAAAATTCTACTTTTTGTATTAATAGTATCCGTTATGTACCTAGGGTCTGAGAGTAACACAATTTTGTCCTGTACATGAAGTTAAATTGTCCATAAAGCTAAATTTGACTTGACTTTGACTATAAACACGCACGTTACACTTGAAATCTTTTTTTTTATATCAAACAAACAAATATTTTTGTTGTTTTATCTGGTAAATAAGATGTTATTAACTACAGCTCTTAAGATGAACTAAGAGCTTACCTCACTAAGATGAGGTAATAAACCAGATCCAAATGAATGGATTCACAAAGGCTGCCCTCTACTGGCAAACAGTTATAAACATTGATATGATGCAACAAGGCCTTGCTCACCTGAAATCATGCAACTTGTGCAGTTTGGTGCACACACACAAACACACAAGTTCAAAACAAATGATTTCCAATGCATTAATAACTTCTCAAAGTGCTCAAAACTAGTTATTGCTTAGCCAATCAAGTCTTGCCTGAATATCAATTTAAACAGGTCAGCAGTGTGGATTCACTGCACTGAACAAAACTGGCTCCTATCATTTTCTGCTGGAATTTTTGTTGACAACAGTTAAAACAAAAAAATAAAAAATGATGGTGCATCACTACATCCTTACTGTGAAATTTGCATGAACCCTAGTCATACAACAGAAATAATAATGAAGGGCATGGATGAAATGGCACTATGGGAGTAAAACATTACAGAAGATCAATCATTTTTGCCCCAATTTAATAACAAACTGCGTACTGCATTATTAATCATTTAAGGCAGTAGAAACAATATCATTATCATATCATTATTTTATATTAGAGTACATGCTCTCTGGCAGTGGCCATGCAGGGAGGGAGTTGAAGTGCAATGACATCACAAACTGCAGTGCACTGGTGGGCGTGAGCAGGGAACATTTCCACCAATCAATCGCAAGCCTTACCTCCGATTCCGCCATTGCAGATTGGAGGGGGATAAGCTACCACTTAAGTGGGAGGAGCAAAGCACAGCTATTAGACTCGGCTAGGAGTTAAGAGAGTAAAAGGTACACCGTGTAATTATTGGCCCCCCATAAATAAAATGTCTTGCAGGAAAAAATGTGATTCAGCTTTCCATAAAAAAGTAGAGGCATTTAATATTTGCACAACTAAAGTGTACATATTAATTTCACTTAGCACCAATTCATCTTGAATTTTACATACCCACTGTACATATACATATGCAATTTTGTTCATATCTATTGGCATACCTCTGATTATTATTAGCAACCTCTATATACATTCATCTATTGTAAATCTCTGTTCATACTTAATACAACCTGTTTATAAATGTTCATAGTACATCTATCGGTAAATGTCACCATAGTTGTTCTGTAATTGCACTTTATAACATATCTATATCCTGCACTTGCTGCTATTGCACTCAAGGTTAGACCTAAACTGTATTTCGTTGCCTTGTACTTGTACATGTGTAATAACAATAACGTTGAATCTAATCTAATCCAGATGAACGTGGTAAGTCTTACGCTATTGTCCTGAGTAATTGGAACATTAATGTTTTAAATGAATGCCATTACAAACGTTTCCACTTTTAGATGCAGCAAAAGCTCAAGAGTTAGAGCAAAACAGCAGGAGACTAACCGGTCCCACTTTATATTAAGTGGCCTTAACTAATATAAACTTACACAGGAATTAATAGTTTGTTACAATGTACTTATTGTGTAAATACATGTATTTACTGTGTACTTATGCTTGATTAAATACATATTTGTAATTACATCTGTAATTAACTTTTGTAACTAAATTTGTAAATACACTGTAGACCATCCCTTACACCTTAACCCACCCTAAAACCTACCCATGCCACCAAACCTGTCCACAACCCAACCTCTATCCCAACTCAAAAGCTCCACAAGTGTTCTTAAATACATTATAAACACAATAAGTACATTGTATTTATTTTTGATGCAGGTACATAGTAGTTAAGGACACTTAATATAAAGTGGGACCGACTAACCAATAAGGCAGTCCCTCCAGGATTTACAGAGATATATTAAATCATTTAAAGCCTAAAATGATGGATTTTTTTTTAATTTATGACATCATTTGCTTAAATTTTGTATTTTAAAAATACTCAAAAATCTTTGATCTCAAGATCTAAAACTCCTGGAGTTTTATCCATGTTTTCAAAAAGAATTGAGAATACTTTCGAGTATTAGAAAAATGTCTGCCCAAAATTGGCTAAACTTAAACCCAATTTGAAGCATAAATGCTTTACTGCATTAAGAATATAGCAAGACTGATGGAAAACTGATTAAGCTCTAGACAGTGCTTGACATTAACATTGTGTGTATAGTTATATTTTGCTTGTTTTTACACATTATTTAACATTTGTGGGAAGGAAATAATTAGTTTGGTGTGGCCAAAGAAAAACTTGGCAAATCCGTTTTAGTGCCATGCACTAAAAAGTCATGTGAAATAAACTATTAATAAAAGCAAAAAAAAATAAATAATAATTGCAGAGTGACACTACAAAACCACAGCCCAATTGCTCATGCTGATTGAGCAAGGTCATTCACAACACACTAAAAAAGTGAATTGATTGAGAAGGCATGTGGACATAACACATCTTGAAATCAAGTAGTTTTAGCATGCCAAATTCAAATTTATGGATATATATATTTGTCAAGAAAATTGTGGCTAGTGAAAATGGCGAGTGTCTAGGCATGGGACGGTATAAGATTCTGACGGTATGATAACCTTGGATAAAAATATTACGGTTTCACAGTATTGTGATTGATGCTCTAAAATATGTTCTTTTTAAATGTTTAGGAGCAGTAAACATGTCAGGCTAAATTATTAAAATGAACTTTTGATTTTTGCTGTCTTCATTAGCTTCAAAAACACAGATATATATAAATGAATTGAAAACAACATCTTTGGATATCTTTTCTGCTGGAGATACTGTTGTCCTAAAAAAACATTTAAATAAAAAAATCTTAAACACACCTTAGGGACGTTACTGCAAAAAAAAAATTGGCTTTAAAACCTTAACTTTTCAAAACCGCAGTAAACAGTTATTGTCCCATGCCTACGAGTGGCTAGCAAGGTTGCAAAACTACAAGCCACAGTGGCTAGTAATCAAAAAAGTTAATGTCAAGCCCTATTTTTAAATATGAAAAGCATACAATGACTAGTAAGAGTTGACAG